ACCAAACAACATCCATGTGCTGCGATATGCTGGGGCAGTCGCAATCAAAGCGCTTGAACCTAGTCTGTGTGTGCAGAAGGACGCCTTCATCACACTGGCTCTATCCTGGTATTAAGCCAGCTAATGAATTGACAAAGACGTGTGTGCGCGCATGTGTGTGGTTGTACGTATGTTGGTGAATTTGCTATTTCAACTTTCTTAACTCGTCATGATGCTATTAATTTTCACATGTTCCGTAGTACGCACTTGAGAATATGCAGAGAAATTTGTTCGAAATTAAATCGTGCGGTGCTTTGGTGTTAAGGTTTTTACTGTAAATAAGATAAACGCCTACGAAAGCCAGATGCGGAGAGAAAAGATGGAACGGGACGATAAGCGTGAAAAAGCGTAAGAAGAAGACGGGAAGGCCTGAGCGGAAGCAGCATCCAAACCCCTATCCACCCTGATCAATGCACCAGATAGGGCACGGTTGATTATACCTCTGGGACGGACAGAGCACCAAGAAATTATTTGAGGAAAAGGCCATTAGTGCGTAGGCAGAATGTCGTCAGGTTGCTTAAAGTTATCAATCCAAACCTTTAGTGTAAAACGACCTCATGGCAGCGGGATTTTATAGAGTAAACAGCCACCCTCACTCCAACCCCCCAAACTTGGAAGGCCAGGAAACTGAGTTTGTTTGGCCGTTAATCATTGACCAATCTGGTAAGAGTGGATCTGAAGGTACAAAAACCACTACACAGCATAGCTCAGTGAGGTATTAAAGTATTTAAACTATCTCACCACGTTAAGGTCCAGCCTAATATTGTATACAGAATGTGTAAAAAGTCAAATCCAGATGAAAATTAACAGGTGATCTGAAACGTGTAAGGATTCAATGAATCACTATGTGAGTGTAACTGAAGGTTCAAAGAGATGCACTATCTAAAATATATTGGCGTATCCCACAACTGCTCTCTAATATGACATCAAGCGAAAGTACCGAGTACCCATGACGCTCTGTGACTTCAGCCTGCCTGCGCATGAACGACGACTGGGGTGTGTTGAGTGTTCAACTCTGAGCGATTGACTAAATCTGATAGCACTTGAAGAGAGCCTGCACAAAGTGGCTATTCGTGCGATATGCGAATGAGCTCAGGAAGCTGTTAGTCATTCCGAAGGAGACAAGATACCAAGCCCTAGTGAGACGACTCAGATCAAAAGGGAGGTGCTAGAACGTAGGGGCTCCGGTCCGCCCATGTTCACCTAGCTTCACCCCAATGGTGCGCGGGGCAACAGGAGCGTGGGTCGACTTTGAATCAATCGTGGTCCCTAGCAGTTGCTCCACTGCTTCAGATTTCCAGTACGTATCCAATGTGTGCTGGTGCTGGTGCTCTGTAAAGGCCAAAGGTGGCTATTCGAAGTCACAGTGACACCAACCGCTGAAGATGAAAACTTTTAATGGGTGTCACAAAGTAAGATAACCCAATGGAAGGGTGTGCATTGGAAACAAAATAATCGTTCGGTGATGTGTGTCTGACTGGATATAACCGTGACAGACCTTTGTGAAGTTCTCCAAAGCACCCAACATTTCGTCAGTAACAAACAGTTTCTGACAAATAGTACATCGGTACATTCGGCACTAAAGAAATGCAGTCTGACGGGTCTAAGGTTCGTGGACGTCGTTCAACAAATTGTGGGTTGGCGACTGTGGTGGATGAGTCATCATCTCCAATCCGTGTTCATACCCGCATCGGCCGTGTGCGTCGGTCTGTCTATCGATTACCCACTCACAAGTGACTTGGCTTCAGTTACTTGATCGATGCTCTGTACACGTTTTGGCTAGAATACACATTTGCGCGCTGGCATCTAATCGTGCTCAGTTGTCTTTGTGTCGTTCGGCTACGAGCCATTATTGCGTTTGCAGGTTAGCGTTACTTCCGCACGTGTAGACTTTAACAGCAACAGCGTGTAAAATGGCAAATAGGTGTGTGTCCGCCGAGACCAGGGCCAGCTGAGTATGAGGGAAGACGTGACTCAGGGGGCCGACCTTGTCCTTTGCACGATAACAGCGCACATTGCAGTGGATAATGAGCTGGGCCACATCGCAGCTGATAACCGGTCATAGCGATTACCACCGGCCAAGTGCATTGATTCACGGGTTCGATCACAGCAAGATTCAGTGAACGCGTGCCACCGGCAAGCTCCAAGAGAGCGAAAGGCCGTCCAACACTTGTTTGGATGTGCAGCGACGAACGAACGGAGTCTGGTTGCGACGAACCCTCGTAAAACACACAAAAAATCCATCTACTACTTTCCAGCATGGTCAGCAAGTTGGTCAAACCAAATGATACTAGACACTGCATATGGATAGAAAAGCGGACTTTGACAATATTGTATGAAATGTCGAACAAGGGATTGAGACGTGACAAGCTAATAAATTAGCAGAGCAAAATGAGGAAAAAAGCACTTTATGCCTGCCGTATGGTAGGCGTTTACGCTCAGCTAGCAAATATAAACATTTGAGTGTAGCTTGAGAGGAGAAAAGTTACTAGGACGTTTGGATGTAGGTACACACCATGTGGGATAAGCATGCCAACTGGTAACGACAGATTGAACCATTCGATCAGCCACCGCGCCTCGAAAAATGACTGCAGTTGCGATGATACGTGCTGACAACAATGTGGAATGACAGTAAATAGCGCAAAATTAATAAGAATCCTTCCGTATCAGTAAGGGTAATAAATCACTACCTTGCGCTGATATATCGCAGCCATGCAACCATAAATTGTGCGGAACCACTCCACTGATGAATAAAAATGGAGAGTGACGGAGAACCAGCGTAGGACATTTAACCTAGTAAACAAACAGACAAAGATATGCGATGTCCAAATGCTGGGACTTCCACTGCCCTGTATCATAACAAAACGTAGCACACAGATAATTCCGAACTAAACACCCTAGAATGGATAATCAAGCTTTATGCAGTAATAGAACGTTGGTGTAATATGGGCAAAAATGCTAAGGCTCGAAATGTTACTTGGATGTTCTGCTTGAAACACATAAGTTCAGAAAATGTGATCACAAGGTGCAATGTGCATCTGTGGGGTCACCAAATTACCCACATTAACACAAGCGTACATTTGCGCCCCCCACCCAGATTTCGTGGGGTTATTGAGCATAATGTCTGCGTCATGCCGTCAATCAATGAACAGAAATCAAATCAGGTAATATGGGTGGTGTAAAGCATCGCAGAATCGTATTTTTAAAATGGGTAGCATGGGTGCAGAAACGACAAAAGTCCTAAGAGCATCCTGGAGCCGACAAATTCTAAGAGAAAAATATTTCCCGGCGGCATTTTAGCAGATTGTATTGGTGGCTAGTTTCAGCTTGTAACCCTCCAATTTTGTACTGCAGATTAGTTACAGGAGGTGGCGTCAAGCATGACCGAGGATTTCAAGATCTGGTACGCCAGAATGTGGTCACCTCTTAGACGGCAAAAACATCGTCGCGACTAAATATGAAAAGGGGGAAAAAGACTGGGGTTTTCAAAATAGGTCAAAATGATGTCATCCCGTATACTGCGATAAATTCCGCTGCATACTCCTAGGGCATTCAGTCGAGGTTGGTATGGCCGATAAAACAATCCATTTACATTTTTCATTGCCATTCGCTGTGCGGTCTTCAGTGCAACCAAATCGCGTTTTAATTAGCGTTGTCAGGCTTGGATCGCGTACTCTACATGGGGCGTCACATATATGCTGAACATTTGAGTGAAGATTGAGGGATCAAACCTCCTGAGCACTCACCGTAGGGGCCAGCATGTTGGCCAGTGGTTTTTAGATACCCTCAATGACTGCGCCGAACATCCGAGATCGTCTTGCATCAGCACCACACAAGATCGCGCTACTGTGAGGCGGTGGTCTTCAATAGGTTGTCTCCATGTTTATATGCGTTAGTGGGTTTGTGGCGTACATGTACAGTTTGGCACTTGTCCGGAAGTAGATTGCCATTCAAAAGTGCGGTCTAAGTCTCGTTGCATCAGGTTGTGATCGTTCTAAATACCTATCCCCGCCATATCTTGATGTCATCGGCAGAAGGCAAGATATTCGACTGGATGAAACCCGAGCGAGAAGGTGGATGAAAACCGAGAATAAGTGCGGTCCTAACACTGATCCCTATGGAACACCGCGGCCCACACGCGGCTGTCAATTAATAAGGGAATACCCGATCAATCCAAGAACAAGTTTCCCTGTATAGGGGGTTTACCTCATAACTAGCGCAAAAAAACTAGCATGTCGAAGGGAATACTCGCATTCCCCAGGACGCGGCGTCTAATGAGATCACTGTGAACACGGTGTTGCCACCACACATGAGCGACGCTCCTGAAACTACCGTTGTTGAAAGCGTAAAGACGGTGCATGTCCACCACGTGAATTCGACGCGACTCGCACTTATACAGCAACAGTTAACGAACAGAGGCACTGTAACTGCGGCCCTTTACAGAGATGGAGACGTCCCGACGAGGCCAAAAGTGATGCAGATTAAAAATTGCCGATCCGGTTTTGGCGATGCGAAGAGAAAGTTCTTTGCTGAGAGCGTCTCCAACAGAACCACAGCTCCTAATGTGGATGAAACTATATAACAGTTGGGGCCGTGCACGATCAAGGGTGAGCACGAGAGCAGGTGTGCTTAAGTCCTAGGTCAATACTTTACAATTCGAAGGTGCGAAGCTCATGCCACATTTAGATGCTTCAACAGCTAAACGATCCAGTATATTTTGTGGATCCTTGCCAAGTAAGGCGATATCACAGCATCACCTAAGTCGGTCGAGCGCTCACTCGGCAGATGATCTAAGCCAAAATTTTGGAAGTTTTCTAGAGCTATCTCGACAGAAAGTCTTCGATTGTGAAAATGAAGAAGAAAAGGAATATTGGGCAACCTAGTCGCACACCGATACTGATGGCGAAAGATGAAGAAAGTTTGCCGAAGACCCTTACTCTGTCGGAGACACGAAGATGCTCAACAGGTTCCTATTCGATTAACAATACTGAATCAGTGACGGTCACAAATACGCTGTGCGGCCAAGTAAGAGAGCGAAAAATTCACTACAAGAGAAAAGTGTGATTGTTTGGTTAAAAGAGACAATTTAAGGCCAAAGTGTGAACGCAAAAGAACTCTAAACCACGTGGTCAATGAAACTCGTACTGGATAAAGAAACTAAACACTAGGGTGACCATTTTTAATGCTGGGTTTAAAGTGCCCTGTGTGAGACACCATTTGTAAACTTCCGTGATTTCAATTAACGGGACCAAGAATTTCGAAAAGTGGGCATTTGCGGCGTCTCACGATCGCCGCAGTGCACTGTGACAAGCGGGGAGAGCCCGTGGAGTCTGATAGCCAGGTCAACAAAGTATCATCGATCTGTCTTCCTCGCTGTGGGTTGACATAACAATACCCATGAAACCACATGGTATCAAGTGCTGCACAAATACACTGGTTTGAATAGAAGCAGAGCAGGAAGAAAATTACCAACCTTTAGAAGTTTCTTTGCGAGTATGGAGGAGTCTTCTGTCAAAATGCTAAATAAAGTAAAACGGGAAGAAAACGATAGACAAGGAGAGTGATTCGGTAAACAAGCTAAAGACACATCAAACACAATCAGTGGAAAATAGGAGCACACCTTAGCTGACCTGTTAAGCATGACTACACGACGCAGGGTGGATCTAGTCGTAGAGAGGCAAGATGGGCTGCTTGGGTGGGTTTCATGCTGTTCGGTTGTCAGAAAATTATGATCCCGGAAGGATTCAATGGTCATGGTCCCCGTGGTCATAATATTGGGTCGTCCCAAAATCGAATGAATTTTTTCGATACCATCCAGAAGTGACTCGAAGAAGACATGCTAAAAAATAATCCTCATTGTCCAGTTGTCGTACAGTTTCGGAATGGCTTCGGTGTTAGCAAATGGTCAACATGCTCTTCGCGGATACGTGTGGTACGAATTCCTGCAAGTGCACAAAGCGGTCGAGGCTTGTCCAAACATGAGTGACGTATTAGGCACGGATGCTCCCAGTTACGGTATGGTGCAATTTTGGTTTCGTCGATTCAAAGTAGGGAATTACGAACTGTCAAACCTCGGACGTTATGGTGGTAAGCCAGAGAACTTTGTCAGCAGCATCCAGGACGCTCTAAAGGAGGATACGGTACAAAGTGTGCGTGAAGTTTCCACACACCTTGACCTTCCGAAAGCCAGCGTTCACCGCCATTAGCACCAATTCGCAATGGTCCCACTAGTACCACACGAATTGACCGAGCAGCAACTTGTGAAATCTTGCGGCATCGCACTTGCATTGCTCACCCGTGGACGTAACCATTGATAGCTGAACGATGTTGTTAATGGAGATGAAAAGGGGTTCTTCATGTTATCCATAGAAGGAAGTGTCAGCGGATCGCAGCAGATGAAACGCCAGTACAAATCCTGAAGGGTAAATTGTACAGCAAAAAGGCAATGTTGTCGATCTGATGCGACCATCGAAGCGCCATCTATTAGGAACCGCTACCCGATTATTCCACGGTTACTGTCCATGTCTGTTGTCAACAACTGCAAAATATGGTCGATGAACACCGAAAAAAGCATCCAAGAGCGACTCGAATCCTTCTTCTGCATGACAACGCATGTCATCATGTGGCAACGATAACGAGTCTCAAAATTGAGTAGCTCGGTATCTAGGCACTTATGCATCCAGCACATAGCCCAGAACTTGCTCCTACTGAGTACCACGTTTTCCGCTCGTTGCAAAATTAAAACAAGGACAAGAAATTGGGTAACCACAACAGCGTCGAAAGTACGCTGCCTAGTACTTTGACAGCCCGCCCAGCACTTTCTATGATGGCTTGCCTGAGCATTGGCAATAAGTCCTCAATAACAATGGGCTTTAGACTGATAAAATAGTGTTGTTTGTTTGAAAGAAACATTGATTGAGAACATGTGCTCAAAAATCTAATTGATTCCGGGACAATGCAACAATAACAGCGATGATAAGCGCAAACAGTCACGAGGGAAATGGAGCTTAAATTGCCAACAGTACCACGTACCGATGCATCGCTAGCATACGGCCGTAAACGGTAATGTGCAAAGTGGGATGACGACGGAGAGCTCAAATCGAGACGAGAGAGAAGAGAAAAAATCCAGATGCCTGAGTGTAGCAAGCTACCACATGCAGTCGAACTGTTCGCTGGGATTGGCAAGTCGGTTGCAACAAACTTGCTAAGCTCAGCGAACAGTTCGACTGTCACCAGAACAACCCGAATTAACAACTTTTGCTCTTATTCAATGAACAATGATTTATCAATGGTAAAAAGCATGTGCTTGACAAGTCCCGTAGGATGGTTGCAGTAGCAACTAACATTTGAAAGATCACAGAATAAGGAAATCGTTATTTTAAGCGTATACCGCCACATTGCGGAAAGGGCTGTTAAGCACATTGTTAGCTTTGCGTTGTTCGTCCTCCAAGTGGAACGGACTATATCAAGTAAGGTAAGTTTGAAAGCGTTAATTCAAGGCATTTTTGAAAAGCGTCAATGTAGGGGTAAGGATAACGTGAGTCGGAAGGACATTCAAGGCACGGGACACACTGAGGGAGAAAGCGTTGAGTCGACAATCAACTCGAATGTAGTGCGTAGCCAGTTTGAGCTGGTGACCTCTCAGATTGTTATTTAGGCTCGCCTGCAACAGACTGCGACATGGGTGAGTTGGGTTCGTCAATAGTAAGTGAACCATAAGTAGATCTCCTCGCTGACGTCGATATTCACCACTGTACAATCTCAGGGACTGCAGCCTGCGTTGGTAGGAGAGATGAAACAATCCTCTAACAAGTTTGGTCGTTCTATGTAGCGGAGCTTGCGGCACAGTAGCTGAGGTGTTCCCCACCTCTAGCTAACGTGTATGATGATGATGACGTTGCGTAGCTTCAAATGCATCGACGTCGGGCTTGCGCCAGGAACGCCAGGCCTGGATCGAATATTCCACGTAAGGCCTCACGTAGGTGTTCAGTATTTGCGGAAAATTTCATGACTCAAAATTCCCGAAAACCCTCCGTAAGAGTCCAATATATTGACTGGATCTTTTTGATGCCTTTTAAGCCTGTTTCAATTAACCAAGAGCGTCCTGCACGATCACACAGAGGCCGTTTTCTTGGGAAGCACGTTGTTACTGCTGGTCCCCAAGTCGATATTCACAGATAAGCTGATGGCGCATGCTTACGACTTTGCAGTTCGTCACGTTGAACGGGAGCCGGTGGTCGGATGATCATGCATAAGCCTTGTCGAGATCGTTCTGCAATACCATGTGATCATCCGATGTATTGGTGTCATACCAGATTTTGACCTCATCTGCAAATACTAAGAAATTCGACTGCAGTACACTGGTATGATCGATAAGCAATGTTAGGAATAAACTTGGCCCCAGTATCGATCCTTGGGGCACGCCACACGACATCAAATGGGTCGGAAATGGAGCTGCAGACTCACACACTCAGCTGACGTTGAGGGAGGAAGTTGCCGATCCAACCAAGTATAGGGTCACCGATTCCATATCTTCGAAGCTTGTGAACGAGAATGCGGTAGCCCAAAGTATTGAGTGCTTTCGAGAAGTCCAGGTAGACAACGTCGACTATCACTCTGGCATCGGCTGTCTCTGTCCAGCTTGCTCGGGCTAGCAGCAAGTTTGTAGTGCAGGATCGATGTCGGCGGAATCCGTGTTTCTGTGACACTAGGATGTTATTGCTCTCAAGATAACCCATGAGCGCCTCTGCAATTATACGTTCCATTAGAATGGATAAAACTGGGAGAAGAATTATTGGACGATAGTTCGAGGGCTCCGAACGATTCCACATTGTGGGAACCTGCATTTCGTCGAGACGTTGAAAGAACCGAGCTAATGGTTCGGTAAGGTTCATGACCGTTGTCTTCAATGCTTTCTGTTTGATGTTGTCCACCCCAGGTGAGGTATGCACGCGCAATGACATTAGCGTTTTCATCACATTGGCTGCAGTGAACGATACGTGGTTTAACGCTGGTGGCGATGGAAACTGTGTCAAAAGCGGATGAAATGATGATTTACTCCGGGCATACAACACTACAGCAAATTCGTCGTTGGGAAACTTTTGCCAGTCGATAAGCGTGCACAAGTGAACAGCTCTACTTCCTTCATGACTGCTTGAGAATGAAAATACTCCCAGCGAGCACAAACCACAGACCAGCATTAAATCATCCGGATTCCTGGAGACTTGCGGGACAGTATGGGAGACGCATGGTCAAACTGATGATTACAGATCCCCCAGAACCGCCTTCGCAAATAGGAGAATGCAACAAACGTGCCAAGCTCAGCGAACAGTTCGACTGCTACCAGAACAATCTGAGCTACCAATTTTCGTTCTTATTCCTGTTTGATAACCGATGTGGCAAAACTTGCAGGCGGAATAGAGGACGACGGAATGCACAAATCCAGTAAAGTCTTTCGATCTGTCTCACTAAGTGTCTTTTCGCCATATCATAGCCCAAATAGATTGGAGCGCAGTTTAACTAGATACGCTGTAGGCAGACAATGAGCATTAAGGTGGGCGGTAGCCTGGAATTCATCAAGGAACGCAACGTAGTCGAAGTAAAAGCTTCGCGTGGAGAGAACGATTCAGCGTGACATGAGATATGAACTGTTATTTCGCGCTTGATGCCCCGCTGCATAAGGACGATGGTGAGCAACATATGTGCACAAAAAACGAATACTCTCTCAAGATTCTCCACCACACAAGGTTGTCGTGCCTCTAATGCAAACAGTTACAGAAGCACACTCAGGCAAGCAGTGGCAACGGGTCATAGTACTCAAAGATAGGAAAACAATGTCCTGGTGAGAGAAACGGTCCACTGCCAGTACAATAATCACTCGGTACTCTTCAGCAAGAGTTGTAAGTTGACCAATGAATACCAAGATGCTCTTTAAAAATCCTGCTTCAAGTACACTATCAAGCATAAGCTAGAGAAAGTAGATTCAAAAGCTTATAAACAATAGCTACCGGAAGGTTACAATTGTGCTATTCGCAAGCAGCCAATGTGTTACCGTATGCATTTAGCCGCCGCTGCCTGTTGGACAAACGCGGGAAGGGGTTGCGCGTCGGTTTGTGAGCCACTGCGTTTACGATGTTTTTTCCGCTTGGTTAGCTGCGAAACGGCTGATTTGGCTTGTATCTCCTCTTCACGCTGGCCTGGGTGGCCGGAGGTTGCACTGGAGAACGAGCAAACGCTGCGACTGCGGGTATCGCGGAGAATCTTTCGGCCAGACGTCAGCTTTACGCCTCCAGTGGCAAATATTAATTTTCCCTTGCGGCCGCCTTCCACATTGCGTTTGGTCGCATTGGTTTGTTTTCGGTTCCCCTCAGTAGAGGTCAGGCTGGCAGCGCCGGAGTCTGCAAGTAGACAAATTATGGGGTGTTCAGCAAGTCAAAGGTATGTTTAAAAGCAAAAGTTTGGGACAAAAAAGTACACAGACAAATAACGAATATAACCACAGAGAGTATGAGGCATTAACTCAAATCGGAGCACCGAGTGTATGTGAGGGAGGGAAGAATTAAAAATAGAGAGAGTTGAGTTGAGCGAATGTTGGTTGAAGAGCCCAATCTCAAGATGAGATTCCTTAGTTTGTGAAAATACAGAAGCTTTGGCAGACATAAAAATAAATCGTCACAAGTGAAGTTTGAGAAGAAGCAGCTTGTACACTACGCACAAACGTTTGACTGAGTGGCGCGCAACTCCTGTGTGTCCTGCAAAACGCCGAAGAAAGCAGACGCAACGGTGTAGATGTGTCGTGAGACAATGAAAAGTCGAA